GGGACATGTCCCCCCTCTCCCCAGTGGAAATTACGCCCCTGACTCATAGTCACGCAAAACTGATGTTGTTAACATTAATAATCTGAGAATAAAGTATAACAATAATAATCATTTGCACGGTTTGATGTGATATGAGTTAATCGATTGTTAGATTAAATCACCATTGGTAGCGCGATTTATTGTAATGCTTTTTTCCTCAGTTGGTCAGAACAAACGTGGCAGACTTGTTACTTGTTCAGATGTCAATATACCGTGAAAATTCTTATTTGAGTCATATATTCCAAGATGTAGGCTAGAATCTGTGATTACTAAGTATAGGATTCACACCGGTGCGGTGACTGACTGCCACACATACTCCTCAAAACATTAGATTCATCCACGCTGGAGCCCTGCCAGAGTACAACCCAGGCAAGGAAGATAATTCCGCAAGTAACTGCAATTCCAGGTTTTCAAACAGAGATGGCGACAAAGAGGCAAAACTTATGGACTGCAGCTTTAATAGGAGGCAGGAAAAAGATCTCCAGTTAACATAAAGTAAATATTCTGCAGATATGTTAAGGATTCACTTTATTCAAAGTACATTTGTTTTACTTTGGAAACCATGTTGAATTATCATATTTAGGGGTCCTTGACATCAAAAGGTCTGAAAACCTCAGTGTTACATAACAGTAGAAACCACTCCAAAAACAACTGTAGGTCATAGTAGAGTAACCTTTGGTAAAATAAAATAAAGTGAGACTATTTCATATAATAATGTAAAGTGTGGCTATTACCTCCATGCTTGAGTTGAAGGCCCTGTTAACTTTGGCCTTAATGTTGACCACTTGTCCAACACTGAAAAATATAAGTGTATTTCAAATGTAAGTGATAATGACAGTAGCTTATGATATATTAGAGACTGTTTTCCATTGGGCGTATATTACTGAGACTCTCCTCTCTAATCAAAGTTACATTTGATTGGTGCTGTGTTATTCAAACAGTCTGACAGACTGGAGTAATTAACAGTCTTCTGAATAATAGTAGTTTAATAGAACAATTAACCAGACAGAACTGCCAGTACTCCCTAAGGGCGAAATGACATTCTGGTTAAGATGTTTTTCAAAAGACACTGAGATGTGGCTCTAATTATCTTAAATATAAGTGATATTTCTTTTACCCAATGGTGTGCTCAAAGTAGATGTCATCAACAGAAGCTGTCACACAGGGGCATCCAGCGTGTCTCTCAGCTGGAATGGAAGCAGATCAAATAAGACATCTTGACACTAATGAATCTCACACCATTTTTAAAAGATTTGCCTGTTTATGACTGACAGGTGATGTGCAAGGAATACAGTATTTGCCCCCTTCTTGATTTCTTCTGTTTAAGTGTAGGCTATATCTCAGGCTAAATTGTTTCAGAAATGAAAACAAAACCTAACATAAAACAAAGGCAACCTGAGTAAACACAAAATACAATTTTCTTTCAATTATAATGTTATTTAATGAAGCACAATCGACCCTATTTAAGGAAGGCAGTGTCGTGACTTGAGAGATGAGAAAGCAAACAGAATGCTCACTTGTGCAATATATTGTTGTTGGCTAGCAAGAACCCAATTTTGAGTATTGTAATTTTAAAAGTTGTTTCTATTTTTTGTATTGACTCAAGTTTTTTGTCTGTTTAGGAAGTTCAGTTATTTGTGTTATGTATCCATATTACTTTTGCTCTGCCTTTGGACTTATTTGGGAAAATGAAAGTCTCATCATCAATAAGATCAAGCCTCCATGTCTCATAATGTGCCATAACATCACCCGACACCTGAATACAGCCTACAACACAGCCCTGTTCAGTTAATACACTTTTCAACAGAACTTCTTCAACAGCATGAAGTTGGCTAAAAGGCACACTATGCCAACTGATCCTCAAACCTTTTGGGAGAATATTTTGTGGGCTAAAGAGCTGGAAGTAGAACTGTTTGACAGTGATAGACAGGGGTCCATTTAGGGTAAACCAAACACCAAAAAGAACATCATACCTATGGTCAAGCATGGTGGTGACCAAGGACGGATAAACACATGGGCCTATCGGGCCAATGCAATTCAACCAAGGCAACATACCCCCCAACCCCACTCCCTGCACACACACCCCAAATTTAACCTGGGGGGGGGATTACAAACTGTATGTGTTTACTTTGGTTGCCTTTGTTCTATGCTGCAATTTGTATGAGGATCTAAAACAATTAACATGAAATATACATAAAAACAGAACAAATCAGTATGGGGAAAATACATTTTCACAGTACTGTACAAGAAATGTAGCTAATAATTTATCCCACATTGCAATATTTCAAGTAATGTTCTCACATTCTAGAACATACTCCATGCAGTCACACATCTAGTTTATATTTGCTCTAGTTTTGCTTCGTCACTGCAATCACGTCCTCAGTATTATACTAACACTCATATCCTTATATAGAGTATTTTTGGAGCCTTTACAATGCAGGTTAAAAAGTGCTTTGTGTCATTCATTGTGTAAACTCACCAGACAGACATGCTGTGCAGTCCATCCATTTGAGCAGCTGTCCGATGCTCAGCTCTCCGCAGTGGTTGGCATGGCAGGGCAGCACTATCTGGCTCATCTTCACCTCTGAAGGGTTGCGATGCTGTCCTTCATCCTCCAGCTGAAGGTTATGCAGATTCTCCTTATGATGGGATTCTGATGCCATACTGATAGGCTGAAGATTCAGCAGCTGAGAGCAAATAATAGTCAATGCTAATATTAGAAATTGGAGTTTAGCTTTGAATACAGCAGTCCCATAAAGGATAATTTAGCCACACTTAAAATGTGTGAAGGTCATTGTATCAGATAACTAGAAACTGAACAAGTAATTTTCATCTTAATTTTGAGATTTTTGAAAGGTGTTATGTATTTATAATGGAGGCCTAAATATGAACAAAACAATAAACAAATAAAATGCACTTTTACATAGTCTAAAACGCTGACTAGACCTAGGTCCACTTTTTAAAATAATTTTTTATTATTTTATTGTCTGTATTATTATTATTATTATTATTTACATTTTAAATGCATTTGCCGGCAAACTAAACATCACGAGGTATGATTGTGAATTTTACCACATGTAATTGCACATCGCAACGTTGTACTTTCAGTCTGGTAACTAATTATTACTGTTGAATATTGCGCAACCTTCAGTAACCTCTGTGACACTCCTTAACGTTAACACCCTTCATTTTAATGACAAAATCTTCAATACATTCCTGTGCCAATAAGATTTGTCTACAAATTAATTTCAGCATAAGATTAGATGTTATGTGCACTTGCGTTTCTATGCAGCGCGTTTACAAGGAAGTGAATAAACGTGCAGTTGTTGAATGGGTATGCAGAACAGCGTCGAAAACAAGTTTAAGCGGCTACGTGGCTTGATGTTTAGATATAAAGTATCATTCACGCCCTTACCGCGATCTGCCTAGACAGTGTGGTTAGATTCAACACAGCAACCTTTCTCGCAAGACTGACTCCAATGACAGACTCAAGCGTTAACGGAAGATCTTGGCGCATGGGAAGTCAGCAAAAATACCTCTTCAGTCGCGCGCATATAGTGTTCACTAACAAGTAGCCTAACTAAGACCCCGCCCCGTGTCTCATGTTTACATAGGCCTATGTTCTGGAAAGTTCACAACACTCTTCTTAGGATACTTATATTAGGATCCTTCTCACATTAAAAACAACAACATACTTCAAACATAACAATCGTGTTTGCAAACAGCACGGGATGTTTTGACACCTGCCGTTATCG